TTTGATGACAAAGTTTGATGAAAAATTTGCCACGAAGGACCGTCGCGCCACCTTCCTGTTCAAGTGTGCAGAGCACAACAAGGTGAGTCCATAAATGTCTTGTATGCTGCTGCATAAATGATGTAATATACCAGGGATATATGTATACAGTAGCTAAGAAAGTAATACTAAGTGTATGTTGTGTAGTAAGCTGTTAGTAGCCCATGTGCCTCACCCTAATAATTTGCTCCCTTTTCCCCTCATAATTTTGCCCACTGTTAAGCCTGTTTTAGAGAAATGTCATCATCGAATATTGTAAGAGCTTTCATTGTCTGCTTATATGCCCCCTTTATTTATCCTACGGTTCTGACTTGGTGTACAGGGAGAATACTGTAAGAACAGTCCATGTTCTGAACTCTGTCGCTGTACAGTCGTGGTCAAAAGTTTTGAGAATGACAGAAGTATTGGTCTTCATAAAGTTTGCTGCTTCAGTGTTATGAGATATTATTGTCAGATGTTACTATGGTATACTGAAGTATAATTACAAGCATTCCATAAGTGTCAAATGCTTTTATTGACAATTACATTAAGTTTATGCAAAGAGTCAATATGTGCAGTGTTGACCCTTCTTTTTCAAGACCTCTGCAATCCGCCCTGGCTTGGAGTTTGTCAAATTTGTGGGTTTTTGTTTGTCCACCCGCCTCTTAAGGATCGACCACAAGTTCTCAATGGGATTAAGGTCTGGGGAGTTTCCTAGCCATGGACCCAAAATGTCAATGTTTTGTTCCCTGAGCCACTTAGTTATCACTTTTGCCTTATGGCAAGGTGCTCCATCATGCTGGAAAAGGCATTGGTCGTCACCAAACTGTTCTTGGATGGTTGGGAGAAGTTGCTCTCGTAGGATGTGTTGGTACCATTCTTTATTCTTGGCTGTGTTCTTAGGCAAAATTGTGAGTGAGCCCACTCCCTTGGCTGAGAAGCAACCCCACATATAAATGGTCTCAGGATGCTTTACTGTTGGCATGACACAGGACTGATGGTAGCGCTCACCTTGTCTTCTCCGGACAAGGTGTTTTCCAGATGCCCCAAACAATCGGAAAGGGGATTCATCAGAGAAAATGACTTTACCCCAGTCCTCAGCAGTCCAATCCCTGTACCTTTTGCAGAATATCAGTCTGTCCCTGATGTTTGTTCCTGGAGAGAAGTGGCTTCTTTGCTGCCCTTCTTGACACCAGGCCATCCTCCAAAAGTCTTCGCCTCACTGTGCGTGCAGATGCACCCACACCTGCCTGCTGCCATTCCTGAGCAAGCTCTGCACTGGTGGTGCCCCGATCCCGCAGCTGAATCAACTTTAGGAGACGGTCCTGGCGCTTGCTGGACTTTCTTGGGCGCCCTGACGCCTTCTTCACAACAATTGAACCTCTCTCCTTGATGATCCGAAAAATTGTTGATTTAGGTGCAATCTTACTAGCAGCAATATCCTTACCTGTGAAGCCCTTTTTGTGCAAAGCAATGATGACGGCACGTGTTTCCTTGCAGGTAACCATGGTTAACAGAGGAAGAACAATGATTTCAAGCACCACCCTCCTTTTAAAGCTTCCAGTCTGTTATTCTAACTCAATCAGCATGACAGAGTGATCTCCAACCTTGTCTTCGTCAACACTCTCACCTGTGTTAACGAGAGAATCACTGACATGATGGCAACTGGTCCTTTTGTGGCAAGACTGAAATGCAGTGGAAATGTTTTTTGGGGATTAAATTCATTTTCATAGCAAAGAGGGACAATTAATTGCAATTCATCTGATTACTCTTCATGACATTCTGGAGTACATGCAAATTGCCATCATACAAAACTGAGGCAGCAGACTGTGAAAATTAGTATTTGTGTCATTCTGAAAACTTTTGAACACGACTGTACATTTCAAAAGTGCTGAACAAATAATTATATTGACTATGTCCGTTCTGCTCACTCATTAATGTCTTAACCCAAATTACGGATTGCCTCTTATCAGCTCGTTGTCCCCTTATGCCATAGTTTGTACATCTCAATTGTCAGTAGAAACCACATTTGCATGTTAGCCATTAAGCATGTTAGCCATATAAGCCATGTTTTTTTAAAGGCAGTAAATGAGGCTGAATGAACTGTTTCGCTGCAAGACAAGGCTCCGCTGATAGCAGTGGTAAGGTGTTTGGACAGCTTTATGTAGGCCCTAACAGTTTGTGGGCACCGTTTGTCACCGTTATAGTGCAATTAATGTATTGTTTAGTGGCTTTGCTGGCATGCATCCCCCCCTCCACCCGATGTCAACGTTGTGAACAGTGCACCATGGTGGTGGTGGGGCTATGGTATGGGCAGGCATAAGCTACGGACAACAAACAAAATTGCATTTTATCAATGGCAATTTGAATGCACAGAGATACCGTGATGAGATCCTCAGGCCCATTGTCGTGCCATTCATCCGCCACGATCACCTCATGTTTCAGCATGATAATGTATGGACCCATGTCGCAAGGATCTTTACACAATTCCTGGAAGCTGAAATTGTCTCAGTTCTTCCATGGCCTGCATACTCACCAGACAAGTCACCCATTGAGCATGTTTGGGATGCTCTGGATCGACGTGTACGACAGCATGTTCCAGTTCCAGCCAATATCCAGCAACTGAAGAGGAGTTGGACAACATTCCACAGGCCAAAATCAACAGCCTGATCAACTCTATGCAAAGGAGATGTGTCGCGCTGCATTAGGGAAATGGTGGTCTCACCAGATACGGACTTGTTTTCTAATCCACGCCCCTACCTTTTTTAAAAAGGTATCTGTGATCAACAGATGCATATCTGTATTCCCAGTCATGTGAAATCCATAGATTAGGGCCTAAAGAATTTATTTCAATTGAATGATTTCCCTGCTGATTTTGTACGTTTGCCCACTGACAAAGAAATGATCAATCTATAATTTTAATGGTAGGTTTATTTGAACAGTGAGAGACAGAATAACAACAAAACAATCCAGAAAAATGCATGTAAAAAATGTTAGAAATTGATTTGCATTTTAATGAGGGAAATAAGTATTTGACCCCCTCTCAATCAGAAAGATTTCTGGCTCCCAGGTGTATTTTATACAGGTAACGAGTTGAGATTAGGATCACACTCTTAAAGGGAGTGCTCCTAATCTCAGCTTGTTACCTGTATAAAAGACACCTGTCCACAGAAGCAATCAATCAATCAGATTCCAAAACTCTCCACCATGGCTAAGACCAAAGAGCTCTCCAAGGATGTCAGGGACAAGATTGTAGACCTACACAAGGCTGGAATGGGCTACAAGACCATCGCCAAGCAGCTTGGTGAGAAGGTGACAACAGTTGTTGTGATTATTCGCAAATGGAAGAAACACAAAATAACTGTCCATCTCCCTCGGCCTGGGGCTCCATGCAAGATCTCACCTCGTGGAGTTGCAATGATCATGAGAACGGTGAGGAATCAGCCCAGAACTACACGGGAGGATCTTGTCAATGATCTCAAGGCAGCTGGGACCATAGTCACCAAGAAAACAATTGGTAACACACTACGCCGTGAAGGACTGAAATCCTGCAGCGCCCGCAAGGTTCCCCTGCTCAAGAAAGCACATATACATGCCCGTCTGAAGTTTGCCAATAAACATCTGAATGATTCAGAGGAGAACTGGGTGAAAGTGTTGTGGTCAGATGAGACCAAAATGGAGCTCTTTGGCATCAACTCAACTCGCCGTGTTTGGAGGAGGAGGAATGCTGCCTATAACCCCAAGAACACCATCCCCACCGTCAAACATGGAGGTGGAAACATTATGCTTTGGAGGTGTTTTTCTGCTAAGGGGACAGGACAACTTCACCGCATCAAAGGGACGATGGACGGGGCCATGTACTGTCAAATCTTGGGTGAGAACCTCCTTCCCTCAGTGACCCAAAAGACACGGCCAAGGCAACAAAGGAGTGGCTCAAGAAGAAGCACATTAAGGTCCTGGAGTGGCCTAGCCAGTCTCCAGACCTTAATCCCATGGAAAATCTGTGGAGGGAGCTCAAGGTTCGAGTTGCCAAACGTCAGCCTCGAAACCTTAATGACTTGGAGAAGATCTGCAAAGAGGAGTGGGACAAAATCCCTCCTGAGATGTGTGCAAACCTGGTGGCCAACTACAAGAAACGTCTGACCTCTGTGATTTCCAACAAGGGTTTTGCCACCAAGTACTAAGTCATGTTTTGCAGAGGGGTCAAATACTTATTTCCGTCATTAAAATGCAAATCAATTTATAACATTTTTGACAAGAATTCTTCTGGATTTCTTTGTTGTTATTCTGTCTCTCACTGTTCAAATAAACCTACCATTAAAATTATATAATAATATAATAATATGCCATTTAGCAGACGCTTTTATCCAAAGCGACTTACAGTCATGCGTGCATAAAAATTTTTTGTGTATGGGTGGTCCCGGGGATCGAACCCACTACCTATAGACTGATCATTTCTTTGTCAGTGGGCAAACATACAAAATCAGCAGGGGATCAAATACTTTTTTCCCTCACTGTAACTCAGTAAAATCTTTGAAATTGTTGCATGTTGTGTTTATATATATTTTTCAGTATAAAGACACAACGTTACTGTACCAAGTGTCAGAAGGGGGTCTTTCAGTTAGTTTACTTTAATGACTCAGCTACTTTAATGCTTTTGACAGTGACGGCCACTATATATTTTACATATACATCTAAACAACTGAACATTAGTGAATTTCCCATCTCAAAATCCCAAATCAATAAGCCATTTCAAAATCCCAAATCACTGATGCTTAAAGTGCATGGGCAACATGTCCCAGTGAAGGAAAGAGAAGGAGACAAGAATAAAATCCATGTTATTACTATCATACATTATCCTGTCAACCATTATTCTTTGTTCACAATGATTGGCCTGTGTCCCATGATGAACAGTGCTGAGTAGTTGGGGTGAAGTTGATAATGCTGCTTGCAGTGCTTCGGCTTGAGACGCTCAACACCACTCAGTCTTTCAGAACCAGGGGTGCTTTGACTGTAGCAGCAACCTCAGCCCCCATGAGCTCCTCTACAATGGCCAGGGCAAACTCAAAGCTGCTTCCTGGCCCACGGCTGGTGATCAGATGGCCATCCTTCTGGACTCGAGCCTCCGAATACTTGTAGTGGCCTAGGGAGTGGAGAGGAACAGTGGTGAATAGAGAAAGAGACACTATCGTTATGCATAATAGTCTGCAAATGCGGATTATTTAGTACTGCTTTTCAAAAATTCCTATCCCCACCTTAACTTGCGTTTGTGCAGTATTTATTTTAAGTATTTCTGTCGCTGTGTTCACTGTTTGAGTCGATCAAATGCTGGTGCATAATGACTAGTCTCTCTAGAGATCTGCATTTCCAAATGCGTAGGGCAGGGATCATCAACTAGATTCAGCTGCGGGCCGATATTTTCTTGAGCGGATGGTCAGGGGGCCAGAACATAAATACAAATAATATGTAGACTGCAAATTGACCGCAAGAAGCCCAAACAGATATAATATTTAACTAAACATAATAATTTCAAACCTTGCTTACATTTGTATACGATCAAATCTCTATTATGCGTGGGAATACTTTGGAACAGATTTCCAAAATAAAAAATCACTTGGAGCTGCTTTGCTGGTGTTTTTACAGTCTTTTATGTCCAACAATAATACAAATATATACATTACTGTTAAAAAAATGTGGGGTCACTTAGAAATGTCCTTGTTTTCGAAAGAAAAGCTATTTTTTTTGTCCGTTAAAATAACATAAAATTGATCAGAAATACAGTGTAGGCATTGTTAATGTTGTAAATGGCTATTGTAGCTGGAAATGGCTGATTTGTAATGGAACATCTACAGTGGGGGAAAAAAGTATTTAGTCAGCCACCAATTGTGCAAGTTCTCCCACTTAAAAAGATGAGAGAGGCCTGTAATTTTCATCATAGGTACACGTCAACTATGACAGACAAATTGAGGAAAAAATCCAGAGAATCACACTGTAGGATTTTTAATGAATTTTTTTGCAAATTATGGTGGAAAATAAGTAGTTGGTCACCTACAAACAAGCAAGATTTCTGTCTCTCACAGACCTGTAACTTCTTCTTTTAGAGGCTCCTCTGTCCTCCACTCGTTACCTGTATTAATGGCACCTGTTTGAACTTGTTATCAGTATAAAAGACACCTGTCCACAACCTCAAACAGTCACACTCCAAACTCCACTATGGCCAAGACCAAAGAGCTGTCAAAGGACACCAGAAACAAAATTGTAGACCTGCACCAGGCTGGGAAGACTGAATCTGCAATAGGTAAGCAGCTTGGTTTGAAGAAATCAACTGTGGGAGCAATTATTAGGAAATGGAAGACATACAAGACCACTGATAATCTCCCTCGATCTGGGGCTCCACGCAAGATCTCACCCTGTGGGGTCAAAATGGTCACAAGAACGGTGAGCAAAAATCCCAGAACCACACAGGGGGACCTAGTGAATGACCTGCAGTGCCAGACGTGTCCCCCTGCTTAAGCCAGTACATGTCCAGGCCCGTCTGAAGTTTGCTAGAGTGCATTTGGATGATCCAGAAGAGGTCATATGGTCAGATGAAACCAAAATAGAACTTTTTGGTAAAAACTCAACTCGTCGTGTTTGGAGGACAAAGAATGCTGAGTTGCATGGGGGGGGGGGGGGGGGGGGGGGGGGTAGAAGGATTACTTTATCCAGCAACAGTGTGTGAAAACCTTGTGAAGACTTACAGAAAACGTTTGACCTGTGTCATTGCCAACAAAGGGTATATAACAAAGTATTGAGAAACTTTTGTTATTGACCAAATACTTATTTTCCACCATAATTTGCAAATAAATTCATAAAAAATCCTACAATGTGATTTTCTGGATTTTTATTTTCTAATTTTGTCTGTCATAGTTGACGTGTACCTATGATGAAAATTACAGGCCTCTATCATCTTTTTAAGTGGGAGAACTTGCACAATTGGTGGCTGACTAAATACTTTTTTTCCCCACTGTACATAGGCGTACAGAGGCCCATTATCAGCAACCATCAGTCCTGTGTTCCAATGGCACGATGTGTTTGCTAATCCACGTTTATCATATTAAAAGGCTAATTGATCATTAGAAAACCCTTTTGCAGTTATGTTAGCACAGCTGAAAACTGTTGTGCTGATTAAAGAAGCAATAAAACTGGCCTTCTTGAGACTAGTTGAGTATCTGGAGCATCAGCAATTGTGGGTTCGATTACAGGCTCAAAATAGCCAGAAACAAAGAACTTTCTTTCAAAACTCGTCAGTCTATTCTTGTTCTGACAAATGAAGGCCATTCTATGCGAGAAATTGCCAAGAAACTGAAGATCTCATACAACGCTGTGTATTACTCCCTTCACAGAACAGCGCAAACTGGCTCTAACCAGAATAAAAAGAGGAGTGGGAGGCCCCGGTGCACAACTTAGCAAGAGGACAAATACATTAGAGTGTCTAGTTTGAGAAACAGGCGCCTCACAGGTCCTCAACTGGCAGCTTCATTAAATAGTACCCGCAAAACAACAGTCTCAAAGTCAACAGTGAAGAGGCGACTCCGGGATGCTGACCTTCTAGGCAGAGTTGCAAAGAAAAAGCCCCATCTCAGACTGCCCATCTTAATCTTTTCTTTTTATTGGCCAGTCTGAGATATGGCTTTTTCTTTGCAACTCTGCCTAGGTCGTCAGCATCCCGGAGTCGCCTATTCACTGTTGACGTTGAGACTGGTGTTTTGCGGGTACTATTTAAATCACCCGCAGGCTGCCAGTTGAGGAACCCTGGCCTAGGGTCTGGTCTACGAGACTGCATAATGACCTTGCATTAATGATTACCATAAAGTACGGAAGGTAACTGTTATAGTACCCTCTGCTGGACACAACGGACCACAGTCCTATGTCATTGTTCAGTAGTACCAATAATTTAGAAGTACTCATTGTGTTGCAAGAATATGCTGCATTTCCTGTCACACTGAGCCTGTGGAATTATCATACAGAAAGATTTCCTACCTGTGAATGTATTTTGTGCTTAACAACCCGCTAACAAATAACAAAACCACAGTGGCTGTGTTAGCCTGTGACCAAGCTATGTACAGTAGTACAGAGATTCATTAGCCTGGAACTTAGCCCTGTGTTAGCCAGGCTGTTTGGCTTTACCTCCAGTCATCATCTTGTCCTTAGCACCAGGGTGGGTGGTGACCGTGCTGCCGTAGGCAATACCGTGTGCCAGGAGCGCCGTGGGACCTGAGGTGAGGAGGGGGTGGGATTGTTAGACCAACACTATTCTCTCTGTATTCAAACTGTTGAAAACCGACATGGCAGTCTCTGGACATTGGACAACAAAGGTGTCAAATTATTCCTTCTCAAAAACCCAGAGGAGTCTATCAATACATCTTAATTTCACTTGCAGATTGACAAGTTTTTTTGTTTTACTTTGATGTGACATCACCACTAAAAGTCAGACCATGAAATAGAACCATGAAATAGGATCTAATATTAACCACATTTAGTTTCAATCCACCACTGCACGCCATTTTTAGAGGAAGGGAAAACCAGAGACAAAAAATAATGGACTTTATGTCTGCTGCATTAACATTGGTAACATCCTAGCACTGCAGTGAGCTCATCCTCAGACCGTTAATAAATAGAAAGCTATTGATCATGCTCCTTGGATGCCTTCCCATGCAGTCTAAAGATTACACTCCTCTCTGGCAGGGATAGTGGGGGCCTGCCAGTTAAATTAGAGCCCAGCTCCTCCTGTTACAGGCCTGTCTACACTCTGTCCTGAGGACACCAAGCTGGGAAAACGACTGTCTCCAGAGACAGGCCAGGGCTGACAAAGAGGAAGGTAGCGCACCCCTCTCTCTGAAGACTCCTGGCTTATAATAACAATAATGCATAAATGGATGGTCTTGGACAAACCAGTGATATGTTTCAGAAGGTAATATGAAATGGGAGACAGGAGGGTCTATGGCATTTATACACCTGCTATATATGGAGGAATTGAGTCAAGCACTTTTCACGCCTCTGTTCACATTAGAAATAGAAAGCATTATTTTCACATTAGCAGAGCACAATGTGACACTGCTGCTGATTCTCTGTTTGGTAGGTTCATTATATATTCCTGTGGGGACATCAGCCGTTTTCTAGGACGCCCTTCACTCCACTCTGCCAAATGGGTCCCATGTCCTCATTCACAACGTCCTTCCAGTGCCCTTCATCAGTACAGGCGGGCAGAAAGTCTCAGGGGTAGTGGGCTTTGTCAATGGCAATTATATGTGGATCTTAACCTAAGCTTCAATGGGCAATGTGTGTAAAAGTATAATACAGTAGTCTATCATAGAAAAATATTATTCTGTATTGGATTCCTGCTTAGTAATAATGGAAAGGCAAGGCAATGTCCCAATCTTATACTAAACTCAGCAAAAAAAGAAACATCCCTTTTTCAAGACCCTGTCTTTCAAAGATAATTCATAAAATAATAATAATTCGTAAAAATCCAAATAACTTCACAGATCTTCATTGTAAAGGGTTTAAACACTGTTTCCCATGCTTGTTCAATGAACCATAAACAATTAATGAACATGCACCTGTGGAACGGTCATTAAGACACTAACAGCTTACAGACGGTAGGCAATTAAGGTCACAGTTAGAAAGAGGCCTTTCTACTGACTCTGAAAAACACCAAAAGAAAGATGCCCAGGGTCCCTGCTCATCTGTGTGAACGTGCCTTCGGCATGCTGCAAGGAGGCATGAGGACTGCAGATGTGGCCAGGGCAATAAATTGCAATGTCCATACTGTGAGACGCCTAAGACAGCGCTACAGGGAGACAGGACGGACAGCTGATTGTCCTCGCAGTAGCAGACCACGTGTAACAACACCTGCACAGGATCGGTACATCCGAACATCACACCTGCAGGACAGGTACAGGATGGCAACAACAACAGCCCGAGTTACACCAGGAACGCACAATCCCTCCATCAGTGCTCAGACTGTCCGCAATAGGCTGAGAGAGGCTGGACTGAGGGCCTGTAGGCCTGTTGTAAGGCAGGTCCTCACCAGACATCACCGGCAACAACATTGCCTATGGGCACAAACCTACCGTCGCTGGACCAGACAGGACTGGCAAAAAGTGCTGTTCACTGACGAGTCGCGGTTTTGTCTCACCAGGGGTGAGCGGATTTGCGTTTATCGTCGAAGGAATGAGCGTTACACCGAGTCCTGTACTCTGGAGCGGGATCGATTTGGAGGTGGAGGGTCCGTCATGGTCTGGGGTGGTGTGTCACAGCATCATCGGACTGAGCTTGTTGTCATTGCAGGCAATCTCAACGCTGTGCATTACAGGGAAGACATCCTCCTCCCTCATGTGGTACCCTTCCTGCAGGCTCATCCTGACATGACCCTCCAGCCATACTGCTCGTTCTGTGCGTGATTTCCTGTAAGACAGGAATGTCAGTGTTCTGCCATGGCCAGCGAAGAGCCCGCATCTCAATCCCATTGAGCACGTCTGTGACCTGTTGGAATGGAGGGTGAGGGCTAGGGCCAATCCCCCCAGAAATGTCCGGGAACTTGCAGGTGCCTTGGTGGAAGAGTGGGGTAACATCTCACAGCAAGAACTGGCAAATCTGGTGCAGTCCATGAGGAGATGCACTGCAGTACTTAATGCAGCTGGTGGCCACACCAGATACTGACTGTTACTATTGATTTTGACCCCCCCTTTGTTCAGGGACACATTATTCAATTTCTGTTAGTCACATGTCTGTGGAACTTGTTCAGTTTATGTCTCAGTTGTTGAATCTTGTTATGTTCATACAAATACTTACACATGTTAAGTTTGCTAAAAATAAATGCAGTTGACAGTGAGAGGACGTTTCTTTTTTTGCTGAGTTTACATTCACTGGCTGACAGAAATTGCCCAATTAAACTCAAGATTATGATCTAAGCAATCTTGCCCCAGCAGACGTAATTGACACCGATACATTCTGGACTGTGTTAGCTGCAATGTACTAGAGGTGGATGTGTGTGTTCTCACAGAAGGAACAGTACCTGCACAGACAGCAGCGATCAGCCCTTTCCTGTCCTCCTGGTCCTTCAACACCTCTTTCACAGCAGGGGACTACAAGAGAAACAACATGGAGGCCACATACAGAGAGATGAGGCACTCTACATTATCATTCAGAATGTGTGTTATAACGCTGCAGTAAATGCTCCTCTGCTAGAGGGAATAAGAATTCCCATTAAATGGCTGTGGACATTCTAAGAAATGTCATAGATGAGTCAATGTTTCCAGCATGACAGAAAATCGGAATTGAAAGTTATTGTGGGACAACTGCCACAGAACTTGTAGTTATAAGGGCCAAAACCATAATACAATTTGGATTAGTATCATGTTGTCATACATTTACATTTTAGTCATTTAGCAGACGCTCTTATCCAGAGCGACTTACAGTTAGTGAGTGCATACATTTTTCATACTGCATAAATGTATATTTGCTTGTTTTTATAAACAATAATGATCATAAGATCATACTAAGTAAATGATATGTTAAATGATGGAAAATTATAGGACTTCTATAGTTTTTCTATGGTAAATTGTCCCCCAAGACAACTAAAACAATTCAAGGGCCAAATGTTACAGTATGCACCTGCAATATTATATTGGCAATGCCAGGGACACACAGGAGAGATTAATCTGCTGCAAAAAGTTCTGCCAATGAATGGCAAACATTAAGTGCATTCCTACCTCTGACAGGTTCTGGGCACCGAGAGCTCCCCCTGGTAGAAGAACCACATCATACGGACCCTGCAACCCAAAACATCAAAAGATACAAGGTCACGGATAACAAATTGATATTACCATGAATTAATGAAGAATGTTTTAAAGTGCATTATAAACTCTATAAAGTCAGAGAACAGCCTGCTCTGTGGACTAATGTGACTGAAGGGTGTGGAGCTGGGGGGAAGGGAGGGCTCTGACCTGCTTGCGGGCATCCTCAAGGCTGGTATCAGGAACAAGGTAGATGTCTCTGCTGCACTGCACTGGGTCTTTGCCTGTCAACCCTGCCAACGTCACAGCGATCTGCAGGATGTGGACACAAACAAAAGCACAACTACTTCAACTGACTGTCATTAGTCATTGCCTCTTAAATTAATCATAAAATCCCACTAATCAAATATGGGACTTTTAATTTGAAAAAATAAATCAGCTTCCTATCCTGCACTACAGTCACCTTTGACATTTGCAGTGGCCTTATACTCACGTTTTGAATATGACAACGCATTAGCTAACTGATTAACCATAGATAAAGACTGCATACTTGTTCATCATGTCTGTAGGCTAGATTATAATGGCTAGGTAGCCGACAATTATATCAACATCAAGCTAGCTAACCAGCTACCTACCTAGCTAGCTATGGCAAGAAATAGATCTGCATGCATGCATGTGTCAAACTAGCTTGGGCTGCAGCTTGACTGTGGCTAAATAATAAATAATAATAATATGCCATTTAGCAGACGCTTTTATCCAAAGCAACTTACAGTCATGTGTGCATACATTTTTACGTATGGGTGGTCCCGGAGATCGAACCCAAGCTAGGTAAATAAAATAGCTGCTAGAACACTAACTACCTGTAATGTGCAGCTTTTAGCTAGCTAGCTAAATGGAGCCAGCTAGCCAATTCTCTATTGAGATCAGTGTAATCAGTGTAGCTAATCTAACAACCAATTTAGCTCGATACATTTACAAACCCCAGCTCTACGCATGACGTCCACAGGTATAACAGTTTCCATCTCCTCCGCGCCTTTAGAGAGGATTACTAATGCCTTTTTGCCTGCCATTCTTGAGCGAGTGGGTGTGTGACTGTCAGCAACAAGACTGCAAATGTCTGTCAGAGGACTTTTATTTTGTCAGGAACCACAGCTCTCTGCAGGAACACATATGGCTACTACGGCTACGGGATCATTGATAGGACAAACAGAACCCTACATGGTTGAACTTATCAAAGAATTTCACAGAAGTAATTTGCCAAAATCAAATACACTATTGCATATATTCGATTATTCATTTTCATCTAAATATATGCAACATCATTGACTTTAATCGCAACATACTCTGCACTGGTAGGTTCAAATACATCCACCAGGGGGAGGCATTGACCCATACATTGTCAATAAAGCCATTGTAGATTGAGGTGTTTATATAATAAGCCTTCACTTTTGAGCCTTTGTTTGCCCCAACATATTTTTAAAAAAAGTGCGATTGAGGTTTATATTATTCAAGACATTATTCAAAACCTTAATGTTCATGATACAGTAATGAAAATATCTGAAAGAAAACTAGTTCAAACCCAAAAAATATTTTCTTAATTCCCTGATGTTTCTGAAATTAAGGGCCAATAAGGTCACTAACTTGTTGAAGCTCTGTCTGAGAATTTCTGCACGCACCAAATCCCTCCCAGCAGAAGAAGACATCTCTTAAGGCACCTCTGGGAATTATATTTCAGTGTAAATCCCAGACTTGCTGTGTCTCAGGCTTTAGTGTGCAGGCACCCTTCCCAGTTTAATGTGCCAGTGTGCGTTCTGCTGCAGACATTCACTTTCATATTTGTGCGAGGAACAAGAGCCCAGTGAAACAGCAGATTAGACAAAGCGTTGGGGGTGCTAGCGGCAGTTTGTTTGTTGCTCATAGGCATGAGCCAATCCAAAAGGCAGCGGTGATTACCAACATATGCAGCTGGGATCAACTTAGCCAGACCCACAGTGGTATACAAGCTCATTTGCCTAAAACATGGTTTTATTTATCCATTTACTTATTTCTTTACAGAAGGAGCTCATAGTATGTTAATGATCACACTCAGGACACGCCTGTTAGAGTGATTTGCAAACCAGGTAACCTGGTAAGAATGTGGATTAGTATCAGAAACACTGACAATGCAAATTCAGTCTCTGAGCCATCTGTGCAAAGCCACAACAACTCAAATATTGCAGAGCAGACAAGTCTTTCCAGTTGTTTGCAACTTTCGTAAGTAAGCCTTTTTTGTTAATTAGAGAGTTTTTTTTACGAAGTATAATTGTGCAAAACAGGAGTCCTTCAAATACTGCTTTAATTTTCTTAAACAATTCACAATATTTAAACAAACAAAAGAGGAAATGTGAAATAATCTTATACTGTAAGATCATGTGAACAAGGGTTTCTAGTTAGTGGTCTGTGTACTTCAAGAGAGTCAGGATCAGGAAGGCTCTGATGATATACCATCATTTCAAATGGGAGCACAAATGGCCACTGACACTTGGAACCCTCCAACATTATGTTCCTCCAACACAGAGCGCAGGGATACTACTTTAAACCAGATTGAACGCCTCAAATCTGCAAAGAAAAAAAGACTAACAAGGGACATGAACAAGTGTCAGGCCTTTTCATCCTCGGTTGGCAGAACTACAAAATGTGTTTTATTTGATTTCTCTCTCTCTCTGGTATTTGTTCTGCTCATTGGGCCACATATGATATTTTCTTGTCGATGTCTGTTAGAGGAGCAGGAGACTGAGTGTTGATCAGTGAACTCTAGGTTATTATTATTCCCCAGCGAGTTCTGCCTCCTGCATGCCAGGCCTTCCTTCTGCTCTGCTTTATCTGGCCCACCACAGAGGTCTACTCACAAACCTGACGGGTTTCTGGAACCCAACCACTGGGATTCTACACTACAGAATCCTTTCCAGAAAAAAATGGGAATCCACAGACAGAAATTACTGTTTGTCACAAAGTAATCCTGTTACCATTGCTCTGAATATGAAACGCTGTAAACATGGAAATAAACTACATTTTGCTATGTGAATATACATGCGTTCCCTATTATATACAAGTTCCATGTTCGGTTAAGATATACAGCAGCAAACCCTTCTTCAGATTCTCAGGAAAGAGGTGCCACTACTCAAAATGGTCACAGTGAAATTGGTTCTGTGGGGAGAGATTAAAACATTTGAGAAGATTTTTGAAAATGTTTGCTACATTTCAGTCATACCGTGGTGGTGTGATTCAGATCATACAACTCTATGGTAAGTTCTCTTGGTTGAGTTTTTCTTCCCATTCAGTAAGAGCCAGTTCTGAAGGCTTTGTAGCACTACAGTTGAAGATGGGATGAATATTTAGGAACACTTTATCTGCCCATCTGTGCACAGGCTTTATCTTGTGTCTGTTTCACACATTGTGAGCCACGAGAGCAGGTGATGAGTGACAAACATATCATCTTGATATCATCTCAACGATATTACCTTAAGCTGCCAAGTGCTCAGGTGGCCTGTGTGTGGATGAATCTGGGGAACAAGGTGACTGTGAGTGAATGTTAAACACCTGGGTTAGCAGATGGCCATTCAACAGACACAAGATAGGGCCAGCTCAGTAACTTAAACTTTCAACAAGCTACCTTGATTTCAGGGAACTTGGATTTCAGAACTTTGATATTGGCAGTGGTATTGTGTGCAGTCCAACGGATACTATTCAAGAAACTCCTTTCCAGGACAAAAGTTCACTCCCTTAGTCTAACATAAGTTATAAACAACATATTAGTTATCATCAAGTCAAACAGGGAAACATTTAAATGAATCCAATTGTACCACTCACATAAAACATTTTTTTCCAAGCTTTTATGTTCTAAAAGATATTCATTTAAATCCAGTTGGGAACATGTTGTTTACAACCAAGAGACAATATTGCAAATTGAGTCAGCAGCTCATGAATGTGCTGTTTTGATTAGAATGTAAGTGTAACAACTCAAACACACAATTGCCCTAGAGCCATCTCTGGATGCAATAATCTCCCTGCCCTCAGACTGTGCCCCCCCTCCCAAAACCTTTTGAGGGGGGTACAAGTGACACTCTGCCTATCTCACCACCCCCTCTCTTTCTATCCCCTTTTCTGTAGTCTATCTTTCTGTGAGTCTCTCTCTCTCTGCCTCCATTAGATCCCCCAATGGCATGCAGTATGGCCTATCTTCAAACACTAATGCTGATGACTGGTCCCTGCAGCAGTACCCCCCACCCCCAGCCACCCCCAGCCTGCTCTTCCAAAGAGAGGGTAATAAAGACACAGGCAGGATTAGTGTTGCGTGCTTAACAAAGTGGTGCCAGAGAGAGAGGCCATGCCCACGGGCCGCTCCCCGACCCTGCTCTTCTCTGCTGGGGTCTCCCCAGCCTGTGCTTTTCTCAGGTCCGCTCTCTCTCCTCTCTCATGGGGTACTCTGTGGCTCGCTGATAGACTCTGAGTGGGTGCATTCATAATATTGACGTTAGAGAGGCACAGTGACAGTAGTCTTGAGTGGTTTAAGTACTGTGAGTATCTACCCTTAACCAAGGAAATGTATGCGAAAACAATTGAATTCTCCATTCGCTAGATTGTCCAGGATTTCTGACAACATTATTCCTGTGCAGTGAGAAAGCAAGTTTAATTAACATGTGGTTTTGTTTTCTATTAGACTTTACAAGTACATAACTGTTGCTGTTAACCTGGGGACTGGTTTGATGGAGGTCACATGCGTATCATTCTGAAATCACTGTGGACTGAAACAAATGGAAAACCATATTATTCTACATGTCTGCAAAACAGTGGGACTGGGATCTTATACAGTGAGGGAAAAAAGTATTTGATCCCATGCTGATTTTGTACGTTTGCCCACTGACAAAGATATGATCAGCCTATGATGTTAATGGTAGGTTTATTTGAACAATGAGAGACAGAATAACAACAACAAAATCCAGAAAAATGCTTGTCAAAAATGTTATAAATTGATTTGCATTTTAATGAGGGAAATAAGTATTTGACCCCTCTGCAAAACATGACTTAGTACTTGGTGGCAAAACCCTTGTTGGCAATCACAGAGGTCAGACGTTTCTTGTAGTTGGCCACCAGGTTTGCACACATCTCAGAAGGGATTTTGTTCCACTCCTCTTTGCAGATATTCTCCAAGTCATTAAGGTTTCGAGGCTGATATTTGGCAACTCGAAACTTCAGCTCCCTCCACAGATTTTCTCTGGGATTAAGGTCTGGAGACTGGCTAGGCCACTCCAGGACCTTAATGTGCTTCTTCTTGAGCCACTCCTTTGTTGCCTTGGCCATGTGTTTTGGGTCATTGTCATGCTGGAATACCCATCCACGACCCATTTTCAATGCCCTGGCGGAGAGAAAGAGCTTCTCACCCAAGATTTGACGGTACATGGCCCCGTCCATCGTCCCTTTGATGCTGTGAAGTTGTCCTGTCCCCTTAGCAGAAAAACACCCCCAAAGCATAATGTTTCCACCTCCATGTTTGACGGTGGGGATGGTGTTCTTGGGGTCATAGGCAGCATTCCTCCTCCTCCAAACACGGCGAATTGAGTTGATGCCAAAGAGCTCAATTTTGGTCTCATCTGACCACAACACTTTCACCCAGTTCTCCTCTGAATTATTCAGATGTTCATTGGCAAACTTCAGACGGCACTGTATATGTGCTTTCTTGAGCAGGGGGACCTTGCGTGCGCTGCAGGATTTCAGTCCTTCACGGCGTAGTGTGTTACCAATTGTTTTCTTGGTGTCTATGGTCCCAGCTGCCTTGAGATCATTGACAAGATCCTCCCATGTAGTTTTGGGCGGATTCCTCACCGTTCTCATGATCATTGCAACTCCACGAGGTGAGAGTTGCATGGAGTCCCAGGCCGAGGGAGATTGACAGTTATTTTGTGTTTCTTCCATTTGCGAATAATCGCACCAACTGTTGTCACCTTCTCACCAAGCTGCTTGGCGATGGTCTTGTAGCCCATTCCAGCCTTGTGTAGGTCTACAATCTTGTCCCTGACATCCTTGGAGAGCT